TTTTAGAGAAGAAAATGTTTCGGTCGCTACCCGGATTCGAACCCGGGACCTTTGAATGAGAGGCCAACACCTTAACCTCTAGGCCACGAGAGCCCCCTATGAGTTTGTGCCTTCTTTTTTTTTTTAGAAGTGATTATGACCATTTAGGCCTACCCAGCAGACACTAGATCTAATAATTACAAAAGACAACATGAAAGCTACGTCATTCTATTAGATTTGGATGTTTGTTGTTGTTTGTTTTGCTTCTTTTTTTTTTTTTTGGTGGCCTGTGTGAATGTGTCAGATGACCATAGCAAAAGACCAAATCATTGCCTGTTTTCTCTCCATTCAGAATGTTTCAATCTTATTAGCCCAAACGTTCGATCAACAGACTGCACTTCAAAAAGGATGAGATAGTGACTGATCGTTTACTTCTTGCAGACCGTTTACCTCACCGATCGGCTGTCGGATTCACAGATTGATGGGCCAAATGTTCATCATTCAATTTATTGTCATCATATTGACATAAATGTTCATACTGTTCCCTCAAAGGAACCTAATACTAATAATAGTGTAAAGACTCAACAAGGGGTGAGGTTGTGAACTAATACAGTTTAATAATAATATGTACCCACACACACACTTTATTTACACTCTTTTCTCACGGGCGCCAAAAAATCACACTAAATTACAGTTTATTGTTGTTATAGTATTACTGTATTAGTGCCCACAGGGTCCTCGCAAGTAAGTCGATACAACAGAAACAGACACACTATAAACCCCTAATATTGTCTTGATGTTACACACCCAAAAGCCATATATCCATTTAGAATCCTTATTACATACACAATAAAACTATGTAACCCACCTTCCTCTCAATGTCATATTTATGGGTACGAAAACAAGCAAAATAATAATTTTAACTTACTGTTATATAACAAGTACTCCTAAAATTGAAAAGGGGTATATTTTTAAAAATGATTCAGTGAGGTAGGTCTCAGACCTACAGAATCTCCTCTCATGCACACCCATATTTTTTATTGAGATAAAAGTGTATGCCTTTTCATGTCTTTACAAACTTCGGTTGTAAAACTACTAGATCTACTCCTAAAAAATCAGTATGCTCATACGTTCCGAAATCGGCTCTTTGAGTTCTTCCAGCCAGAATCTCCATTTCATTTCCTTATTAAAATATTTTTTAAAATGAAAATGCATGCTTTTCTGTCGTTATACACTCATTTAGCTACCCCCCCCCCCCCCGCCCCCCGGAAAAAACCCAAAACAACAAACAACAACAACAAAAAACAAAGCAACCCCCCAAAACAAACAAACAACAACAAAAACACGCATTTGTATGTTCTAAAACTCCTATAAATCAGTGTGCACGTGTTTTTCTGGAACCGACTCCGTGAGTTCTTCCAGCCAAAATCTCCTCTTGTCCATCTCCAGCCCCTGTCTGACTTCAGCACGAGGTTTGAAGTCCAGGTACTTCATGTCCTCCGTATTGTACTGTGGCCAGTGGGCGCTCCTGTAGAATGGAGAACAATACACTGTATTGAAGAAAATTAATAAATGAAAATATGTCGAAGTTGCTCTGACGGTCACCTGTGTAAGACAATCACTTATATATATATATATATATATATATATATATATACAAAAGGGCACTTCTCTCCCCCCCCCCCCCTTCCTCCCTTTGCGTTTTTAAAAACTTTATACATGTAATAATGGTAAAGATAAAAGAGAGCCACCTGCTTAAGATAGTCACTTTTCTCCCTTAAAATGGGTGGCTATCAGGGGCGAAGGCTGACTTGTTTGACAGGGTAACCAAAGTGAAACGGGACCAGATATGGCCTGGAGATATTATTATCACACAAGAATCTTACTCGAGGCGGCGACTCTGAGTTGTGAATTGTGAATGAAAACAAATCCAGAATTCATATTGTATGTTCAACCGCCAAAATAATCGGGAAAGTATTTTATTAAATATTAATTCCAACTTAAATTAAATTTAACTTTAGATGTGAATACACAAACATAAAGCAAAGAAGCAGAGATGTCAGTACTAGATCTATATGTTATAAATCTACCCGTGAGTCTAACTCTTTGGTAGAACATGACAATTATCCTTTTTTTAAATTTCACATTTGGCTGTTTTTGTCTAACCTTTCGTGGCCAGGAGGCGTGTCATAATCGGGGTCATGATCTGATTATAGGACTGTAAAAAGTCGAGGAAAAAAAGCAAACACTTGCAGCGGTCAAGAGATTGTTAGGAGTTAGTTCCCTTCACATCTGTGAGGTAGACTCGACCAGTGTAATAGTTAGCTTACATAATCAGAGTTTGCGACTGCTTATAACTGTGGCCCCAAAGGGGTGAACAGGGTATTTGTGGCAATGGAACAGTTTTGACTGCTATGGACATGTTCCCTTCAACTCTATTGGTAGACTCTTCCAGCCTCACTTTAAGCTTACTTAATCAAAGCTTGTGACTGCTTATGGAGTGGCCCGAGAGGGGTGAGCAGGCTATTTCTGTGGCAGTGAAACCTTTTTGAATGTTAGGCATAAAGTTCATTGTTGATTATGAACGTCTTTTTACATTTAATTTATGAGGTTTACTTTTATAGGTGAATTTGACAGCGACAACGTTTCAAAATTAGGAAGGGAAGCAGTGATTATTTGATTATATAGACGCTTCGCCCCTGGTGGCTATCTTAGACAATTTCGACTACACATGACCTGGGGGAAAAAGCTGGCCTCTGGCTGCTGCCGTTGCGTCGAAACCCTCTTATTCCCTTTGTTTTGTTTCCTCTTTTTTAAATTAAACTTTCCGCCCTAATACAGTATGTTCCATTAAGCAGAAGTGCAAGAGTGGTTTTGTTAAGTGTGAACACTTTTGACCGAAAGGGAAGAGAGAGAGAGAGAGAGAGAGAGAGAGAGAGAGAGAGAGAGAGAGAGAGAGAGAGAGAGAGGGAGAAGGGAAGGAGAGGGGGGGGGGTGCAGAGAGGGACAGAGGAGAGAAAAACATATATCAACACTTATCTTGCTGATTACTGTGCAAGTGCAAGTAAACTGGGTTTGAGTCATGTTTCAGCTTATCTAAACTTTCAAGAGTAACAGATTCTACTATTAATAATGGATTATAGAACGGCAAAAAATTCGTGGGGCAGCTTATTTCCAAATATTTCCTTCACTATCGAACATAAACTCTTTAGTTATTGCAAAATGACGTGTATCAATAAATAATGTCTTAACAGAACAATGGTTTCATAGAAACCTCTTGGCTAGAAAATTCTTTAAAATATAATTTTAAAAATCGCAGTGGGTTGTTTTGGCAGATTTTAAAAATAGGTTATGGCTGGGGAAATATATGGCTTTAAAAAAGCAAGTCAAACTTTTTTTTTTTTGAAGCATGGGTTTTGAGTTGAAGGCATTTTTAGCTTCCTCAGCCTCTCCTACAACTATTTCATCGCATGAGAACCCCCAAAAGCTTTATTACTTCTCATACCGGGCATGTTTGTCACCACCGTTTCCTCAAACAGTCAATATTTTTTTTTTTTATTGCCCGTTTTTTCAAAACGCGATTTTTCTAAATACTAAAAAAAACAAAAACTTAACAATTTTATCTCCAATCTTCCTGAAATATTCACAGAATGAAGAGAAGATGTAATACCGGTATAAAAAATTGTCTCTTGAAATTTTGGTACATATGGAATAGATTTTTGGTGGTGGTGTCTGGAGTGTGGATTTTCACGGATTTTTTGCAAACTTGAATACTACCTCAGGAAAACATTCTTTATACATTTTTTATTTCGTTTCGGAAAAATTCAACAGAGAAATTTGTAGATCTAATGTTTGCTAACATGCATGCCAAAAAAACAAAAACCCTATCAATAACCATGAAAAATAAGTACAGTATTCATTACGTAGGACATTTCAACAAATTCTTATAAGGCCACCGTATCCCCGGAAACGAATTTTTTTCTTCTAAAATTTGATAGCGGATTTTAAGACTCTTTACCACGCTTGTTATATGTGTGAAATTTGATAACATTTGGCTCACATATAAGCGAGATAGCTTTCGGGGGTAACTAGTAGTTTCTGAGGTTTTTAAATTCAGACTCAGTTGTAGTGGAAAAACATTATGAAGTTAAGACAAACTGATACAAACTGCTGAGCAAAGTATGGATGACATTGATTCACCTGTTAAAGAGACATTTGAGGGTAAGTCGTGCCACGAATTTATGACCGCACTATATGGCATGGATCTTGTTTTTTCCTCGGGTTTTTTTATATTAAATTCGGTGACTACGATTCCTATGAAGTCTAGTTATAAATCAAATTGAAAACATAAAATACAAAACAAGAATATTCAGGGTTTACCCAGTGTTTGTGAAGCTTGCGATGATAGCAGAGAGGCGTGACTTCAGATCCAAATCTTCGTCATCCATTCCCATAGTCCCATCCATTCCATGTCTCAGAATTTTCTCGAGCCTTTCCACAGACAAATCAAACCAGTAACACAAATCAAGTCCGTGGACAATGCCCTTCTCTTTTCCTTTCATAAATCTCGGGAAGTGATTAAAGTGGAAAAGCCAAACTTTGGTATCTTTTCCTCTGGAGGCAGCGTCTATAAAATCGAAAGTCGGAACGATAAAGCCCAAATCACTGATTAACATAGTTAAAGTATCATCACCAAACCTTCTGTCATACCAACTAACCATTTTGTCAACGATCGAGGTCGACACCGGAGCGTCCATTCGGGACCGAGCGTAAAAGTCATAAGTTGAAGAGCGTATACTTTTCAATAATTCTGTTTTTTCGTTGTCGGTGATATTGCCTCGACTTTTAATCATCCCAGCTAAGAAATTCTCAACGTAAGGTCTTACTACGGACGCTTCGTTGTTATCAATCCCTACAAGGTACGATCTTTTGAAGAAACCTACGTCTTCCAAGTAACTGTCGTCTCGGAGTAACTGTAGAGGTGGTCTTGGGACAAAGTCCTTGTCGACTATAGGAACGAAAACAGTCCTGTCAATAGATAATGCCAAGTACTGGGTGAAGTTAGACAGGGGTAGTTTGCGCAGACATTCTATCATTTTCCTGGTCGTGTCAGAGTCAGCTTTTTGCGAGGCGTCGCCTTCAAAGCAGTTGACACTGGCAGCGAGAGTTAAAGCATCTTTCTGAGGGTCAAGTGCTTTGCCGAATGCGGAAGTAGGAGTTCCGCTCTGTGGATACGCCTTAGAGAAAAGTCCTTTGGTGTGGGGAGAGATGGAAAGATACCCCACAGCAGAACCCCCAGCAGACTCCCCGGATATAGTGACGTCGTTAGGGTCGCCTCCGAAAGACGCTATGTTGTCCTTGACCCATTTCAAAGCCAAGGTCATGTCCCAGAGCCCAAAGTTGCCAGGGCTGGACTGATCCCCTGTGCTGAGGAAACCTAGAACGCCCAAGCGGTAGTTGATGGTCACAAAAACAATATCGTGAGTCGTCACAACCGTGCTAGCGTCGCACTCATTGGAGCTGCCGAATATGTACCCCCCGCCGTGTATGAAGACCAAGACTTTTTTAAGCGAGGAGGGAGCCAACTCTTTGGCGTAGACGTTAAGAAAAAGGCAGTCCTCCTTGCCTTGTTCCCTGTCTACGAGTTCCAAAAGCATGTCTGGCATTGGGCAGATATGCCCATGTTTTGTCGCGTCGAATGTGCCGTCTGAAAATAAACAACAATGGGCAATTTTACTTCACTTTGACTAACGTAATTCACCTCAACTACTACATGTATCACAATGTCGATGTTTATGAACACAAATGAATAGCTTCACGGAATAGTCCCCCCCCCCCCCAGTTCCTCGGTGTCTTCAAGAGAGTGTGTTATAGAGCTAGGCACAACAGTCCTCGCTCAAAACAATGACACACACACACACACAGACACACAAACATACACACACACAGACACACACAGATACAGACACATAAACATACACACAAAAATATTCGCACGCACGCACACGTCAAGAGAGAGAGAGAGAGAGAGA